AAAATCTTTAAAAAAAAAAAAAAAAAAAAATCACATGCAGAATCTCTGGGTATTTGTCCTCGACATCAATTTTTTTTTTTTAGAAAAATTCCACAGATGATTTTAATGCGTAGCTGAGGCTGGGAACCACTTTTCTGTTCCTTGTTTGTGTTTCTCTTTCCTCTTTGCCTGCTAATTTTTACATACTCTAAAAGATCGGAACTAAAAGCTTTCTCTGAGCTCCCTAGCCCACTTTAACTTTTCCTGTTTCAACTTTCTCTTATTTATTTCTGTGCTACTTACTTGTCTGGTGCTGGAGTACAGGCTGCCTTATATATTCTTTTTAGATGTTTACCTTAGCCCTCTAAATAAGAACATGATGATGCTTTCTGCTTCCTCATGGAACAAGAACAGTTTCTTATACTAAGTAAATATCTGTTTATCATTTTGTAATTTGAATTTTTCTTTGTTTCATATATCTTTTGTCTTTGTACCTCGTATAGTGGTGGAAGTATAGTAAGAATTTATTGTTAAGTGTTTATTGATAGAATGAATAAAATACATCTGCTTGAGTGTAACAAACTTTAAATGTATATATTTACTTATTTCTTAGTATATAATATTCAGATTTGAAATTTAGGTTTTCATAAAGCAATGCAATTCCATTTTTCCATTAAAAAATTAAGCAACAAAATTTGGAGAGCACATATACCTAGTCTGTATTTGTAATTAAGCAGGATTTAATCAAAGATCTCAAATCAGAGTTAAGTGGAAACATGGAAGAACTGATCCTTGCCCTGTTCATGCCAACTACGTATTATGATGCCTGGAGTTTACGGAATGCAATGAAGGTACTATATGTCATTTACTTTGAATATTTTATCTTATTTCAAATGTAAAACCCCATAAATTATGGCCGTTCTGAATTTACAGTGACAGCTAAATCCATACATTATTTCATATCATCTGAATATATAGAGCTTTTCAGGTCTGGAGGCCAAAGAAATATTTGATGGAACAGTAAGATTTAATTACTTTCAGAGATTTTATTTTTCTTTTGTATAATTCTCCCTTTCTTCATTTCACATAGGGAGCAGGAACTCAGGAACGTGTATTGATTGAAATTTTGTGCACAAGAACCAATCAGGAAATCCGAGAAATTGTCAGATGTTATCAATCAGAATTTGGACGAGACCTTGAAAAGGACATTAGGTCAGATACATCGGGGCATTTTGAACGTTTACTTGTATCCATGTGCCAGGTGAGTATAGCATGAATGTGTGTTGGTGGAGGGAACATTCTTTACTGCCCACTGCCAGTGAGCATTCTTTATTCCTTTTAATATTTAGTCCCCTTGGAATCTTGCCATCTTTAAGAGTGTTAATGCAGAATCCAATGTATACATTTCTTTATAGTCATTATTGAGGTTTGTTTCTGCAGAGCTGGCTTTTGTAAGGAATCAGAAATTAACATCTGTAAGATTATATGGAATCATAAATCAACTGGAGGCTCAGTGTCTTAGAATGAGAATGAATCTATATTTTTAAGCTTAGCGTTGTACTGCCAGTTAAGTTGGACCATCAACTGAAGATATGCAGGACTGCCTTGGAAGGGCTATAGGAGGTGAGAACTGTGTGAGGGGAGCCATAAATGCGGAAAAATGTTTCAGCGTTCACAGTAATATTGTGATCAGTACCCTCGTTATTCTGATTCCCTAGGTGTGCTGGAGAAGTGACAGAAAATTCTCCAAATGTGGTATTTGGAATGAATATTCACACTTACAATGAGATGATGAGGGTATATTTGAAAAAGATGATGCAAAAGCTAGCACACTGATTCAGTATCAGGAGTTATTGGCTATCCTGTTAGTGCACAAGGTTGGACAGTCTTGAGGGTTCTAGAAGTAGAGGAGAGGCTCTTCAGAGCAAAGGGAGGTAGTTGCAGAAAAGATAGTTTGCCAAAGTGAGTAGATGTAGAAATGAGAAAAGAAGGCAAATGGGTGGGAAGAAATTGAATTTACCTACAACAGAGTAACATCAGGGGAATGTTAGCATTTAAAAAGAAGAAGAAGAAGAAAACAAGCAGGAACAGAGATTTAATACTAAAAAGTGATTATTAGGATTTTACATGAGGTGCTGAGTGTCTCTTTATGCAGAGTTCAAGGCCCAACCATTTTACAAAGTAAAGGGACCTCTTCCAGGGAATGAGCAGAGGAATGGCTTCCTAGGAAAATGGGACTGTATTGTGTGTTTGACTCCAAAGACAATAATCTGGGAAGTTTTTCCTGAGCTATATTCAGTCACCCATTTAGAATATGTTTCTATATGTTCCCTGTGCCTAGTGTTCTTTAGAAGGCAGTTTCTCACCTTCGAGGAACACCTCTCCATTTTGTTCCTCAGAAAGACACCGAGACTCTAGAGGGCAGCCTTTCCTTTGTTTCTATTTGCGTTTCTATTTTTGAGAGAGAAAATAACTGCCCATCTAAGCTTTACTCTTGTTCAGGCCCAGAGCTTCCTCTCTCCCTCTCTCCTTCCTTCTCTCCCCTCCCAGGGAAGAGTTTGGTATACAAATTGGCACAGACTAGCAGAACTTGAATTATTTATAGCATTTTCTAAAAAAACTCATGCGTCATTTTTGTGTATTCATTTAAGATTACACTTGGATGAGGGAAAGAAAGTTCATGAAGCCTCCCTATTATATGTTCCCTCCCTTGGCTTCAATTCCTTGAGGGCAGGGACCTTATCTTTCTTGTGTCCACACCACCTAGCACATCCACTTGGTTCTGTTTCTCTGGAGAACCCTGACTAATACAGCCTGGCACAAAGCAAGTGCTCCATACCCTTCAGTTGCATGAGTGAATATAAAGTGGAACTCAGTACAGTGCATATTGATCTTAAATTCCAGCTAAGGAGAATTATAATTTCTTCATTTGAGTGGTGGTTTATATCTCCTAGTAGAGATGTTTTTCTTTGTGTCTGTGTATAACTTTTTATGGAAACCTTGTGTGGTTTAATTTAGCTCTCAAAGCCTGGAAAACCTCTCATTTTAACATAACCTCATTAAACCATGATCATGTATTATAAAATCCAAAGTTGGCAGTGTAATAAAGTACTAGTTACACTAGTACAGTTTCTTTGCAAATGAAAGATATGCATGACAAACTTTATGTATTAATCTTTAATAAATTGTCCTTTAAAATCCAAAAGTGACTAGATTGGAAAAAATTTTTTGTAGAACTTGTATCACTCCCTTCCAACTTCTGCCTTCCTCTTTTGCAGGGAAATCGTGACGAGAACCAGAATGTGAACCACCAAATGGCTCAGGAAGATGCTCAGCGTCTCTATCAAGCTGGTGAGGGGAGACTAGGGACAGATGAGTCTTGCTTTAACATGATTCTTGCCACAAGAAGCTTTCCTCAGCTGAAAGCTACCATGGAGGCTTATTCCAGGGTATGAGCTTTTCTTTTCAATATTTGGCTTCTGTTTTAAGGTATGACAATATTTTAACCTCTATACTTTTTGTTTGTAGATGGCAAATCGAGATTTGTTAAGCAGTGTTGGCCGTGAGTTTTCCGGAAATGTTGAAAGTGGTTTGAAGACCATCTGTAAGATACTTTTGTGTTTTGCTTTGTTTTGTTTATAAATGAGTGAGGCTTTGAATAATTGTCCCCATTAAGTAATGATAATTAATCCAGCCTCCCTGGAATCAGCTTAGGCAGAGGCTGAGCTAAACCTGTGTTTTTATGTGCAATTCCCTGTGAATAGTTGGTGGTGTGATCAATTAGGGTTGTTTTGGAATGATTTGGTCTTTATTCTGTATGCCCTTCTTGAGGACTATGCAAGAATATATGATTAGTTGTAGCATTTCCATTAAGGTGAATGGGAAAGCACTAAGGAACTACAAGTACCACCACTCAGAGTGTCATTTTGAGCACCCAAAAAATACCTTTTGAGTACTCAGCCCCCTAAGACTCTTTTCCTTTTGAAATTAAAAACCCAATTTCTAGTGTCCTGATATTCAGATGTCTAATGAAATAGAAATTTCATTCTCATGGAGAATATAGGACTAAAGAGAGTATTAGTAACACTTTGGTATTAACAATTGAATGTCTTACAAATATTATTATAGTAATTGTAGCTAAAGTAATAATGTAAAGTTAGTACATCTCTACCATCTGCAGGAAGAGACTTAGCTAAGTTAATTTTCCTAAGAGAAAATGTGACAGATGTCTTATCATTCTCAAATCTTTGCTTAAATCTGTTTTCTTTTTTATACTGGAGTGTATCTCATATTCTTCTCTCAGTCAAATGATATATGTGACCTCTAGAATTCAGATTTTAGTCATTATTCCTTTTAAGTAAGACTGGACTAGGGCACAGTTGCTACAGATCTTCTCACTGTAAGGGGAAAAATATAAAGAATCTAAGCTACTGCATCTATGGAGAGAAAATGGTTTTTTTTTGGCCAGAGAGAATCTTCTAGAATTGAAAGTAGCCTGTCTGATGCAGCTAGAAAGAAAGATGGATGCTGAGAAAAATCAAGGGAGAGAATACCTTTCAACTCACCTCATGTTTTCTGAGATGATTACATAGAAAATGATCAAAGAGAGGCTAGAAGTAATAAATTAAGCTGGAGCGAGGACATGTTTGTCAAGTCATGATTCCACGTCTGAAGCATCTCTGACTTGCAGTGCAGTGTGCCCTTAACCGCCCTGCCTTCTTTGCTGAGAGGCTCTACTGCTCTATGAAAGGTGCCGGCACAGATGACTCCACCCTGGTCAGGATTGTGGTCACTCGAAGTGAGGTGAGGCTTTCTCTTGTCTGATCTTACTTGATTTTGAATGTTGATTTCTTTTTTCTTTCCCCCCTCTCCCCAGAACGTTGATTTCTTAAAAGTTCCTCAGTTGGTTGTCAGTCCCTCGGGAATGATGTTAAGAAAGAGCTCTCTTTGTTGCTGCTTGCAGAGGTTGTATAAAGCACAGTTCACTTTCCTCATACCATGAGAGAGGCTTGCTCTTGTGAAACAGACCACTGTCCCTCAATGAAACCAGTGCCAAGAGATTTTCTTACTTGTGAAGTTCTGTGGAGAATACTGTTTATGGCAAGTTGGAAGATATTTAACTTTTGGTTTTCATTTTGCTTATGTAAAAAATTGTATGAAAGACCTATGCAGATTAATCTTTTTTTTTTTTTTTTTGGTGAGGAAGATTGGCCCTGAGCTCACATCTGTTGCCAATCTTCCTCTTTTTGCTTGAGGAAGATTGGCCCTGAGCTAACATCTGTGCCAGTCTTCCTGTATTTTGTATCTGAGTTGCCGCCACAGCGTGGCTTGATGAGTGCTGTTGGTCAGTGCCCGGGATCTGAACCGCAAACCCAGGCCACCGAAGTAGAGCGCACTGAACTTAACTGCTACACCACCAGCTGGCCCCAGATTAATCCTTTTTATTGATAGTGCTGTTGAGTCGATTCCAACTCCTAGTGACCCTGCATGTACTGCCCAGAGTGGAACCCTGTCCAGTCTTTTTGTGCCATCCTCTTACCTTCTGGCGCTATATCAGACATAAGTTCCTTTGCTATTCGTAGGGTTTTCATGACCAGTTTTTTCTAAGTGGGCGACCAGGTCCTTCTTCCAAGTCTGTCTTGGTCTGGAAGCTCTGCTGAAACCTGTAAAACCTGTAAACCTCCACTGGTATTTCAAATACCAGTGGGATAGCTTTCAGCATCACAGCAACACGCAGCTGCCACAGTATGACAACTGACAGACGGGTGGTGTGGTTCCCTGACTGGGAAACTAACCTGGGCGGCGTTGGTGAGAGTGCCAAATCCTAACCATTAGACCACCAGTGCTGGCTAGATTAATCCTATTGGATACAAAAATTCTTGAAATTTGGTGTACCTTGCTAATTATAGAACAATTTTTTAAAGAAATTCATCTTTATCTCTTTACCTAAATATATCCTCAAATGTTTTCCTTTGTTTGATTTTGTGTATTTATTGGACTTGTTTTAATTGAAAGAAAAATTATAATAAAGAAGGTAAATCATTTTTAAAAAGGCAGAATATGGTGTTTTTAAAAAAACTTTTTTTTTTTTTTTTTAAATTTTTTTTTTTTAAAGATTTTATTTATTCATTTTTCCCCCCAAAGCCCCAGTAGATAGTTGTATGTCATAGGTTCACATCCTTCTAGTTGCTGCACGTGGGACTCGGCCTCGCGTTGGACAGAGAAGTGGTGCCTCGGGGCTTGCCCGGGATCCGAACCCGGGCCGCCAGCATCAGAGCGCGCGCACTTAACCGCTAAGCCACGGAGCCGGCCCTAAAAAAACTTTTTGTGTATTTGTTCTTAGACCTAAATTTTCTAAGCAGGATTTTTTTTAATTGTAATAAAATATACATAACATAAAACTTACCATTTTAACCATTTTTAAGGTTACAGTTCAGTGGCATTAAGTACATTGACATTGTTGTACAGCCATCACCACCAGAAATTTTTCACCTTGCAAAACTGAAAATCCATACTGATTAAACAATAATTCACCATTCTCTTCTCTCCCAAACACCTGGCAACTACCATTCTACTTTCTGGACCTATGATTTTGGCTATTCTAGGTACCTAATATAAGTGGAATCATACAGTGTTTGTCCTTTTGTGACTTCTTTTACTTAGTGTAACATCTTCAAAGTTCATCCATGTTGTGGCACGTGTCAGAATTTTCTTCCTTTTTAAGACTGAATAATATTCCATTGTATGTATATACCACCTTTTGTTTATCCATTTATCTGTCAATGGACACTTAGGTTGCTTCCACCTTTTGGCTGTTGTGAACAGTGCTGCTATGAGCAATACAGATATTTGTTTGAGTGCTTTCTTTCACTTTTGTGCATATACCCACAAGAGGAATTGCTGTATCACATGTTAATTCTATTTTTATTTTTTTGAGGAATCACGATACCTTTTTCCACAGTGGCTGCACCATTTTACATTCCTACCAGCAAGGGACAAGGGTTCCAACTGCTCCACGTCCTTGCCAAGACTTGTTATTTTCTGTGTTTCTGATAATAGCCATCCTATCAAATGATTTTTAAATGACTAATATTTTTTGAATAGATGAAACTAGTACCACCCTTATTCAACATTTTTACAGAACAGTGAATCAGACCTTCATTGGGTGATGCTAGCACTAGTCTGAATGCTAGCTGTACAATGTCAGTTACTTGGTGTTTTATCCCCTCTGCTTTGCTTATAATTAGGATCTTTTCACTATTAAAGAATAATTCTAATAAATACCAGTTTTCTTTTGACAGCTTCTTTCTAACATCAAAAATATCATCTCTTGCATGCAGATTGATCTTGTACAAATAAAACAGATGTTCAATCAGATGTATCAGAAGACCCTGGGCACAATGATTGCAGGTGACACGAGTGGAGATTACCGAAGGCTTCTTCTGGCCATTGTGGGCCAGTAGGGGGAATTTTTTAAATGAATGAAGCTATTCAAAGCTTATCCTTCAAAACAATGACTGACCTGCATGCAGCAATATCAACCATCACCTAATCAAAAGAGCTTTTTACTAAGGACTGTGTCAGGGTATTGTGCTTGGTCTGCACATGTGGTTATTGCCTTAATTCCAACGTTATTTTTTCTCTATACAGTCAATGTAAAGCCATATCATAATGATATAATAATAATGCAATGTTTGTAAAGCATAATTCTCACTGCTCTTAGTTTAATCAGGATACCAAATTGAATAAAAATCACAACCATCTCTAATTCTGTGTAATAATAACGAATTAAAAAAAGATTGCTGAAAACTCTGCCTTCCAAAGGCCTGCTAGGTCCATTGGACAGTTATAGTTGGTAGTATGTCAAAACTGTATTCAGCTCTTTTGACCTAGAAGAGTAATGTGCATCTTATTTTACATAAATTGGTATTTTATAAACATAAACACAACTTTCTACATTTTTCACATAGTATTGCTTTTAGCAACTTTTTAAAAAGGGATCAGATGTTTATATGCATAAAATACATAGCCTACTTTTATGTCTACTAAAACTCCCTAAAGATCTCTATTGGGCCTTGATTTTTAAACAAATATTTTTGAAAGACTTTAAAATTAACTGCAATTTAATCATGATTCAAGAAAGTAAAGCTTGACACATACGAGGTGCTCAATTAATGAGTGAATGAGGCATAAAGCATCTCCCTGGGAGAACTGAATGCTAGCCCTTTGGAGAAATAGTTCAGGAGCTGAGTTAGTGGTACAGCAGGGTGATTTCAAAACCCACTGGTTTATCCCCAGTACTGAGCAATTACTTATTGAGTATGTTGAGCATTACTATAGGTAGTCAGGGAAAATACAAAGGAAGGAGGTTTGTAATCCAGTGGGGGTTCTAAACAAATATTAGGATACAAAGAAATAGTAAATGTTAGGTAATAAATTCTGCTGAGTATAAGACCCCTATTTGTTCTTGATGCCAAGTTCCCTGGTACAAAGCAGATATTTAATATAGATTTGGTGAATGATTGTACTAAAAATTGAGAGGAAGAATAGTAAGTATCAATTATAATTCAGTGAACATTTTCATAAGTACCAAGGGGCATACAGTGTGGTATAAGACACAACCTTACTCTTAGAGAGATAGACCCACGTACAATTGTATGAGGCAAAAGCAAGATACATGGGTAGAAGGACGATGGGCTAAGATAGATATAGTTACTTTTTTAAAGTTTCACTGAAAAATTTTGCTTTTGATCTAAGTTTTGAAAGAGTAACAGTGACAGAATTTGGTAAAGATCAGAAAGGAGGGTAGGGTATTAAGGAAGGAAAAGATATGAGCAATATATTTTTAAACTTAAAAAATTGAGATATAATTTGTATACCATTCACCCTTTTAAAGTATACAATTCAGTGATTTTTAACATATTCACAAATTTGTGTAGCCGTCACCACAATCAACTTTTGAACATTTTTATCACACGAAAAGAAACCTTAAGCACGTTATCTTTTAGCAGTCACTCCTCATTGTCCCTCCTCCAGCCCAGCCCCTGGCAATGACTAATCTATTTTCTGTCTCTATGGATTTGCCTATTTGGGACTTTTCATGTGATTGGAATCATACAGCATGTGGCCCTTTGTGTCTGGCTTCTTTCAATTAGCATACTGTTTTTAAGGTTCATCCGTGTTGAAGCATGAATCAATACTTCCTTCTGTTTTATGACTGAATAATCCATTGTATGGATATACATTTTGTTTGCATTCATCAATTGATGGACATTTGGATTGTCTTTGCCTTTTGGCTATTATGGATAATGCTACTATGAACATTCATATACAAGTTTTTGTGTGGACACATGTTTTCAATTTCTTTGGCTGTTATACTAGCAGTGAAACTGCTGGATCATATATCTTTAATTTTTTGAGGATCTGCCAAACTGTTTTCGAGAGCAGCTGCACCATTTTACTATCCTACCAGCAATCAATGAGGCTTCCAATTCCTCCTCATCCTCACCAACACTATCATTGTCTATCTTTTTTTGTGTGTGTGTGTGAGAAAGATCAGCTCTGAGCTAACATCTGCCAATCCTCCTCTTTTTGCTGAGGAAGATTGGCCCTGGGCTAACATCTGTGCCCATCTTCCTGTACTTTATATGGGACGCCGCCACAGCATGGCTTGACAAGCGGTGCGTCGGTGCATGCCCGTGATCTGAACCTGCGAACCCTGGGCTGCTGAAGTGGAGCGCGCGCACTTAACTGCTGTGCCACCAGGCCGACCCCATGTCTGTCTTTTTGATTATAGTCATCCTAGTGGATGTGAAGTGGCATCTCATTGTGATTTTGATCGGCATTTCTCTAATGACTAATGAACATATTTTCTTGTGCTTATTGTCTATTTGCATATTTTCTTTGAAAACATGTCTCTTCAAATACTTTGCCCATTTTTAAATTGGGTTGTCTTTATTGTTGAGTTATAAGGTTGATTTATATATTCTGAATAGTAGACCCTTATCAGATATGATTTTGTTTTGTATTCTTTTATGAATGGTCAGTCAGGTACAGCCACAAGAGGAGACACGGGAGAGGCTCCGGAAAGCAATTTATTTTACTCAAATGTCCTAGAGACAGGAGGCACTGCACACACATGGCCACATGGGAAAGACACCAGAGTGGTCAGGAGGCAGAAGACAGGAGGCCTGGGGGAATGTTTAGGCCATGGCCTTTGTTGGGGTTTCTGAGGGAAAGGCAAGGCGGGGCAGTTTAGGACTGGCTAGTATGAATAATTTTGGTGGGATTTGGGCTAAATGGGTTGTTTCTAGTTGCCTGGTCCCTGGCCCTGGGATGATTAAGGCGGAGGAATATTATCTCCTGGGGTGCAGGGCCAGATACAGGACGTATGGCTCTAGATTGTTTAGTTTGCATATCAAAGGCATGCTCCTGGCTGGGCCTTTTGCTATTGCTAAGAATTGGCTACTAAGGGAGGGGCAGTTTCTCCCAACTAGAAAGGTGGTGGTTTTTGTTTTTTTTTTTTGGTGAGGGAGACTGGCCCTGAGCTAACATCTGTGCCAGTCCTCCTCTATTTCGCATATGGCACACCGCCACAGCATTGCTTAATGAGTGGTGCGTAGGTCTTCGCCCAGGATCCGAACATGCGAACCCTGGGCCGCCAAAGCAGAGCACGAGAACTTAATCACTATGCCATCGGGCTGGCCCCTAGAAAGGTTTTTTAAGAAGTAAAAACAACATAATATACAGAAAATTATACACACACACACACACACACACACAAACAATACAGATTTACAAATATTTTCTCCCATTCTCTGGGTTGTCTTTACTTTCTTCTTGGTGTCCTTTGATACACAAAACTTTTAAATTTTGATGAAGTCCAATTTCTATTTGGTTGCTTGAGCTTTTGGTGTTATGTCTAAGAAACCATTGCCTAATGCAAGCTCACAACAATTTATCCCTGTGTTTTCTTCTAAGACTTTTATATTTTTAGCTCTTACATTTAGGTTTTTTACATTTTTAGTTAATTTTTATATATGGTAAGACTTTTATATTTTTACCTCTTACATTTAGGTTTTTGACATCTTTAGTTAATTTTTACATATGCTATGAGGTAGGTGTTCAACTTCTTTTGCATTTGAATATCCAGTTGTCCCAGCATCATTTGTTGAACAGACTATTCTTTCCCCATTGAATTGTCTTGGCACTGTTATAAAAAAAATCAATTGACCATAAATATAAAGATTTATTTCTGAACTCTCAATTCTATTCATAAAGATTTATTTCTGAACTCTCAATTCTATTCCGTTTATATGTTTATCCTTATGCCTTGATTACTGTACTTGATTACTTAATAACTGTAGCTTTGTAGTAAGTTAAAAAGTGGGAACTCCGAGTCCTCCAACTGTGTTCTTTTTCAAGATTGTGTCGGCTATTCTGGTCCCTCGTATTTCCATATGACTTAGAATCAGCTTGTTAATTTCTGCAAAAAAGCCATCTGGGATGTTGATAGTGATTGCTCTGAATCTGGAAATCAATTTGAGGATTAGCAACACATTTGATAGTATTATTGGCTGTTGTCAGAAATAAATCAACTTTGGAAATAACAACAGATTAGCTAATTAGAAACAAATTTTTTGGAGTAATGAGATAGGAGTTTGTTGAGATATTAGTGGAGGTCTTTGAAACCCAGACTAAGAAGTTTGAAGTTTATTAGATTTTTTAGCCTTTTTTGTCCCCAAATTGGTTTATATATATAGATGATTTAATTATGATTCCCAGTACTACTGTATTTTCAATAGCACTAAAGACGGCCTTTTTTATGTTTCCATATGCAAGTTGATATTTTAAATTAGTCAAAAAACATTTGAATGCCTTTCCTCATAAGGCATTCAGAGTGGCCATGGCTAAACCCTCTAGGAGAATAAAAGAACTATAACACGATGTTTTGCCCTCAGGCACCCTACAGTCTAATGAGGATGAATTATATTAGGGAAGTGACACCTGTTACTTATCCTTGCTTGCCTAGGCCTTGAAACAAAAATACTAAAAAGACCAAGATGATGAGCGTTCTAAAATAGTTCCCTAGCAAAGACTGAGCTTATTTTGTACAAAAAGTATGTCATGCGCAAGGTAGGATGGCTATCTGAGTGCAAATTCACTCATAACCCCCACTTGGGAAAAATCCAGCGAGAAATGCCTTACTCAGTAGTTCCTAGTCTTATTTTGAGAACCTTTTATTAGTTATAACACTGCAACTTTTAAAAATATTTTTTCTTAATTTTTATAATTTTAATATGTTTATTAGCAGAAATAAAATTTATTTTTAAAATCTGGCTCTGGTGACTCCAAATCCTAAGCAAGGAGTTTCCATGGAGAGTGGTGTGTGTGTGTGTATAGTTTAATAATTTGTTTTGAAATAACTTCATATCTCTAGAAAAGTTGCCAAAACAGTGTGAAGAACTCTCATGTCCTCTTCACCCAGCTTCTCAAATAGTTAACATTTTATTGCTTCATTGCTCACTCTGTGTGTGTGTGTGCGTGCATATATCCCTTGTTATTAGTCTTTTTCTGGACCTTTTAAAGGTTGAGAGAGCAAACTGCAGATAGGATGTCCCATCACTCCTAAGCATTCCAGTGTGTATTTTCCCCCAAACAGGGACACTCTCCTACATAACAGCAGACAACCTCCCACATCAGGAAATCAATATTGGTACAACACTACCATCCAATCCACTGAGCCTATTCAAATTTCACCCACTATGCCGACAATGTCTCTTTTCCTTTCTGGTCCAAAATGCTATACAGGAATATATATTGCATTTAGTTGTCATGTATTTTCAGACTCCTTTCATCTGGAACAGTTCCCAGTCTTTCATGTCCTGGACAGTTTTATAGGCCTTACTTCTATAGGATGGCATACCACCTGGGTCCCTCTAACAGCAGGAATACCACAAATGATGCTTTGCCTTTCCCAGTAAGTCTCATCAGGAGGCAGGCAATGTAGACTCCTCCCAACATTGGTGATGTTAACCTTGATCACCTGATCATGTTGATTTCTTCAATTCACTGTTTTCCCCTTTGATAGTATTCCAAAATCATGCCAATATCCTATTCCTCATCAAACCTCCACCAACCAACCTTAGCATCCATTGAAGACTCCTGCCTGAATCACCCACCTCTATAGTGAGTTACAAATGGTAATTCTCTATTTTCATCATTTCCTCTCCATATGGGATTGGCATTCTAGAAAGAGCTTTCCTTTCTATTTATTTATATCAATGTGAACTTCTGTATTCCTTTTATTCGATGGATTGTAATCCATTATTATCATTGTTTATTTTGATACTCAAATTGTCTGATTTGACCAGCGGGAGCCCCTTCAAGCTGGCTCTTAACACTGCAACATTTTCAAGTATGTATATTGCTAAGATTCATCCATGTTGTGAGTAGCTGTAGTGCATTCATTTTGACTGCTTTGTAATATGCTATTTTGTGAATATATATCAGTTTATCGTCCACTTTTCCGTTGATGGGCACTTGGGTTGTTTCCAGGTTTTTGCTATTGTATTTTGCTATTCCAACACTAATGTTGAATTTCAAATGTATTAAAATTTTGCATTAACATCATATACTTCAAGTCTGTTTATTGTATAAATATTGAGCACTAAAAGCATCACTCTTTTGCACTCTCACCAACAGTGTGTGAGTCAATAAAATATTGTCTTACCTGCATCTTTCACGGAGAAAGATTTAAATGACCTGTTTTCAAAACCGTTTAATAGAGGCTTTTATTTTGTATTTGATTAAATTTCCTTTTGGTTTTTCTTCTCCTATTATGTATCCTACTACAGAGGGATACTGAAAGAAAAGGGTCGAGAAAGCAAAATCGAAAGGTAGAAAACTTGGCACTTAACCATAACTTTTGCCAAGGGAAACTGGCATCTGCAGAAACAGAAGCAAAACCCAGCTAGGCAAGTTGACGCTCGCGCGCACCATTCCGGAGCGCAGGCGCAGAAACACCTTGCGACCCGCTCGTTTCCCTCCCGGAAAACGTTATCCGGAGTCTTGAGATAAACTTGTGGGGATTGCGGAAACTAGGTTCTCGCGAGAGAGAATTGGTTGCTATAGTTGCGAAAAACGTATCTGCCGCTACCGCAGGTAAGACGGTTATCACTCCTCAGAAAACCCTCTCTTCCCGGCCTCCCCACCGCAGCCCCGCGGCCACACCGCGTCATCTCAATCTCTGCTCCCTCAGCTATCGCTACCGCTACTGAAAGGCACAGGCCGCATCCCTGCACCGCTGCGCTCCGGTACAGACCTAAACGCCACCGACCGGGCAAGGCGTCGACGCTCCCGCCAACCCCTGGCCTCCCACCCTAAGCCGGAAATAGACCCCCTTCTCACATAGACCCCCTTCTCACATAGACCCCCTTCTCACTTTGCGCGAGATCCTCCACAGTAAACGCAGACTGCGCCTCTGTCCCCAGACCACACCTGGTCACAGCGTCTCCTTTTTTTTTCTTTTTTGTGAGTAAGATCAGCCCTAAGCTAACATCCATGCTAATCCTCGTTTTGCTGAGGAAGACCTGGCTCTGAGCTAACATCTATTGCCAATCTTCCTCCTTTTTTTTCCCCAAAGCCCCAGTAGATAGTTGTATGTCACAGTTGCACGTCCTTCTAGTTGCTGTATGTGGGAGGAGGCCTCATCGTGGCTGGAGAAGCGGTTCTTCGGTGCACGCCCAGGATCCGAACCCCTGGGGCCGCCAGTAGCGGAGCATAGGCACTTAACCGCTAAGCCACCGGCGGGCCCTCCTAACCTGTTTCTAATTTGACTCTTCCCTTGCAGCTTCTTCTGAGCGGATGACAAGAAATGCATGCCTTGTTGGGCACAACAGTAGCCCCCACCTGGCTGCCCTGACCGTAACTTGTAACTAGCCAGATTTCTTGCATTCATTATTCAACAGATACGCTGCCAGTGCCTGTTAAAGACACGGCATGGTGCCAGGCATTCAGGGGCTGTAAATATGAATGACATTACTTGTCTTTAAGGGGGTAATTGGAAAAGCAGTGCATATTAATAATACCATTTGTGTGGTGCTTCATAAATTAAGCAGTTTTATTATTTTAGTGGATATTCACAACAAATGTGAAACAGGTCAGAAATTATATTATCCGTTTTACAGAAGGTGAAACTGAGGGTCAGAGAAGTTAGGCGTTTGTCTAGGGTCAGACTAGTGAAGGCCTAATTCATGTGGTCCTATTATGGAAAAGGAAAGAAGGAGACTGATGCAAAAGGTCATTTCAAATGTAAATTTGATAAGAAAGTTGTTAGGGCCACTTGGGCCCTGAATGAGCCTGGAGACTTGGTGTTGAACAAGTGATCTGAGACTTTCAGGTGACTGGGAAAATAAGGGAGTAGCTGGAAAGAAGCAGAATAATTATAAAGTCTGGGGGCAGCAAAGTATCTCTTGTTTTGGTACCACCCATCCTAGACTCACTTAGCATTTCCAAAGTAATTGTTTGAATTGCATTGTTTCACTTTGAATTGAGTCAGAAACCATGACCTTTTTTAAAAAAGAGATACCCAATTTATTTTTGAAATTGTGTCCTTAGTGTTGGAAAATAATTAGAAAATATCTTTGACTAAATAAGACACATGTCAGGACTTATTCCAGTGGACTAACTTCTTTGTGGCTGATTCTTTCCCATTATCAAAATATATTTTTGTAAAACTGAGAGATTAAATAACCTTGAGGAGAGTTTTGCACATCAGAAAAAAGCTATGAGGGCCCGGCCCGGTGGCCTAGTGGTTAAGTTCACACGCTCTGCTTCAGCTGCCTGGGGTTTACAGGTTCGGATCCTGGGCGCGGACCTATGCACCGCTTATCAAGGCATGGTGTGGCGGCATCCCACGTATAAAGTAGAGGAAAATGGGCACGGATGTTAGCCCAGGGCCAATCTTCCTCAGCAAAAAGAGAAGGATTGGTGCAACAGATATTAGCTCACAGCTAATCTTCCTCACCAAAAAAAAAAAAAGCTACCAAAGAACACTACAAAGGATGTGGGGGATGGGAGGTGGGGAGATGGCACTCCTACCCTCTTTGTCTTGTGATAATTTGTGCTTAATAGATTGGTTACATGTATAAGGATCTTTTTAGCGCTAACCAGTGGAATCATCCTTGTGACCAGCTCTCTAAAGCACTACCTATCCAGCAACAAAGGTTAGAAAGGGCACAAAACAGTACTGGACAATGGCATTTCCCTAGGTTCTCCCCTGGTATTGGTTATGATGTAGTGTGGGTACTTGTGAGGGAACAGGCTCATTCTTTATGTTTACAGAGACCAAAGAAGACTTTGCCCAAGTGCCAGTATGGAGCAGGTGTCATCAACAGGCAAACCCGTGCAGATCACTGTGACAGATGGATATGACTTGGTAAAGTTATTTTTGGAAATCCGAGAAGTCCCTAGTTTATTCATTCTTCTTTAAAGTACATTTGTCTTTGGGCTCAGGTTTCCCTGTCAAACATCTGCTTGTGGTTGGGGGTAAGATGTGTTGGGAGCACCAGTGGGAGGAATGGAGTTTTGCGTCATCCTGTACCACCAACCTGTTGGCTTTACATAGTTCCTTTTCAGTGTTCCTTATTATTAGTCTATAATCAGCAAGTCACATTACATGTGTCAAATACCTGGCAATTTGAATATTAAATTTAACAGGGGTGAAACAAGAAGTGGTTTTCATTTTCTTACACAGCAATTTCTTTCTTCTGAAAGATCTGAATTCTTCCAGAGTTTCTCTTGTGATTAATTTCATTTGATGAATTTAAATAATAAAACTACAATATGATGTAACTATTAAAAATTACAATAATAATGAAACAGCAAAATATTTGTTCAATATATGAAGCCAAAAAGCCCATTCCAAAACAGGATTTAATAAATGATCTCTACTTTGTTTTAAAAGGTATATGTAAAAAAAGTAGATATCAATGTGTGTACATACACACACCCACACATATACTTGTGTATTACACAGCAAAACAGTAGAAAATATATTCTAAAATGGTAATAATGCTTGCATATTAGAGTGAGATTACAGTAATTTGTTTTCCTATGTGGTTTTCTCACTTTTGCAAATGTTCTACAATATAATTTTATAGTCAGATAAAACATAATAAATGTTATTTTTCAAAACTCCAACATAATGGCATTTAAGTAGAATGTTTGCATTTAGCTACAACTAGATTTGTTTAATGACTTTCTGCCTACCCCGTTTGTATTTGTGATATAGCTTATTAGGAAAACATAGAAAATGCTGTTTAGTCCAAGCCAAAATGGGTTTCCAGATGCGTAGGAAAATTCTCTATTTGAGTATAATTGTAAAGTGGTATGTTTCTGTCAACAGAAAGGTTTTAAAGGAGATACTCCAGTTACCTTTATTCGTGCAGAATTCAATCAGGTGGTTCTGGGAGATTCTGCAAAAGTTACTGTTTCTCCAGAAGGAACTGCAAAATACAACTTCACTAGCAGTTTTGAGTTCAATCCTGAAGGAGGAATCACTTTAGATGACCTCGCCCACAAACCTGTGTGCTGTAAGTCCTCCTGTGTCTAAAATTTATGTTAATTATATGAGTATGTTATGAGGAGATTCTGAGGTAATTAGGAGCTGTTGTTGGGACAGATGAACACATCTTACCTTCTTAATCTAGGAATAACACAGTATGCTTTGAGTCCTACCTGCTTCTGGCAGCAGTCACCATGACCTACTAATTTTAATCAGTTTGTATCAAAGACCTTTTGACGTATGACTGAACTTTGTAGCCCTTATTTCCAAAGCTGAGTTGGGAGGTTTTCCTTTGTATTCCTGTATTTAGGGTTGCTAGATTTAGAAAAAACAACAACAAAACCCACAAAATTGGGGACATACTTATTCTAAAAAAGTGTTCATTATTTATCTGAAATTCAAATTTAATTGCGCATTTGTATTTTACCTGGCAACCCTATCTGTACTTCTGTATACTCACCATACTATATAGCAGTTATTAATTTGCCTCCCTTGCTAGAGGAGTCACTTTTTGAAATCAGGGCTGTATCTTATTTATTTCGGAATTTCTAGTGCCTAGAAATATCTAGGACATAAAAGAGGTCGTAAAGTGTTTGTTGAATGAATGAATGGATAAATGGACGGATGGTTTCGGTATCCACACTTTTACAGTTTCCAACTACACAGTGTTATCTCTGACATACTTTGTCCATCTACCTATATACTAGTCTTTTTTTGTTTTAACCCATATTCTTTATTTTTTGTTTTTGTTACTCCTAGGGTACCTGCAAAAAACCATAGATTACAAAATCCCAAACCCAGAGAGGTGGGACCTGGGGATCTACACAGTATTCTAGAGCAATGCTGTCCAAACGTTTTTTTCCTTAAGAGTCACCTGAGGCTCTGGGAGAAAATGGTCTTCAGGGTCCCACCCCAGACCACCAAATTCACAATTGCCAGGGGAGGGACCTAGGAAGCTGCACCTTGGAACAAAAGTCTCAAGTGACTCCTAGGAAACACTGCTCCAGAACAGTGATTCCTAGCTCTGGCCTAGTTGGGAATCAGTCACCCATGGAGGCATCCATCTGATCCACACTCTCTCACCACTCCCTTCTGCTGCTTCTTTCCTCTGTGCTTCTCTGTCACTCACAAATAGGAGAGTGTCCTGATTGCATTCTCCCCTAACATGTTGAATAGGAAAGGCAGAACTGTAGTATTATTTTAAACATGTCACTGAACTCATGAGAAAGAAAGGGCAATCTTTTTGCTCCAGAAAGCAAAGCAAGAACTGAAACCTAGAATTCTTGAACAGCTGCCATTGGTGTGTGGTGGTGTGAGGGGAGAGGGCAGTGCTCCAAAACCTAGGGGCTTGGGTTTTAATGCTCTTATTGGGACAGAGACCTAGGGCTGCTGTAGATGGAGAGTTGAGACTGAGACCACCCCCCTCACCACAAGCCAATACTCTCCAAAAGAATGGACTAGAAAAAAAAAATCCACTTACCATCATATCTGTCTAGGCCCTAGGTAAAGGAAAAAAGTCTTCCCTGAGAATTAGTAATCATAGGCTTATGCCAATCATTAATTAATATATATTTTCTTAAAACACGCAAGGAACATTTATGTAATAAAAACTAGCCACATACTAGGCCATAAATCAAGTCCTGCCATATCCCAAAGAATCAGTAGCATACAGACCAAGTTTTCTGACCAAAATACAACAGTCAACAAAATTAGAAATCAATAGCAAAAAAAGAATCCATTTGGAAATTTTAAGACACACGAATATTTCAAGGGACAAAGAAGAAATCATAATAAAAACTGCAAAGCATTTAAAATGAATCAATAGTATACACCAAATATCAAAATCTATGGGATATAGCTAAAGTAGTACCTAGAGATACATTTATAATGTTAAGTGTGGTCTTTAAAAATCAAAAAGGGGGCCAGCCCTGTGGCTTAGCGGTTAAGTGCGCACGCTCTGCTGCGGGCGACCCGGGTTTAGATCCCGGGCGCACACTGCTTGTCGGGCCATGCTGAGGCTGCGTCCCACATACAGCAACTAGAAGGATGTGCAGCTGTGACATACAACTATCTACTGGCGCTTTGGGGGGAAAAAATAAATAAATAAAACCTTTAAAAAAAAAATCAAAAAGGATTTAAAACAGAACTTCTGCCTCCAAGAAGATGGAGTAGATATACTTTTCCCTATTCCTCTCACTAAGTACAACTACAAACCCTGGACATTATATATAAAACATACATAAGAAACTCTGAAAGGTGGAGAGAATAAGGAAACTTGAGACCTGAGGAAAGACACAGTAGTGAGTTCCTTGGGTTTTCTTTTTGCCTCATATATCCCAGACTTGATGCTGAAGAAGCTAGCTAGGAACACTAATGAGTGCAGAGCAAAAAACAAAAAGCCCAACAAAAGTCTCTAACCAAACTCTCTAACCAAAAGACCAGGAAAGGGGTAGCTTAGCAAGACAGAAAACTTTTAGACAGTAATTACTCTCCTCCAGCCAAACACCATAGAAAAAACTGTGGCCCTCCCCACACCCAGGCCGAGAGGGGAACCTAGGCTTCTACTCTCACAAAGCTGAAATTAATTGCCCCAACATCCTAGCTGGGTGGTGTCAGAGAAGACCAAGTAGGGAGCCAGGACTTTTATGCCCTCTGGTAATGAGCCCCTCTCTCACCCTGTGGTTTTTTAGTGGAGACCACGTAGGGAGCCTGGACTTCTGCCCTAATCTGGCAGTAACAAAGTGCCCTCCACTCCCCACTGGGGCAGTGTCAGAGGAGGCCTAGTGTAGGGTGAAGACTTTCATCATCACCTAGTGGTAATGAGTCTACACCCACTTGTGGTATCAGTCGTGAGCAAGGAAGGAGCCAGAACTCTCATTCCTCCTTAGCAGTAAAAAGGAGCTATCCCCCTCGGGTATCAATAGAAGCTGAGTGAGGAACCTAAACTTCTACCTCCACCTGGCAATAATGAGGCAGCACCCCTCCCCTTCCTTGTTGGAGTGATGTCAAAAAAAAAGCCAGCTAAAACAAGGTTTAAGGAAGATTCAGAGTTTCATAACATAATACAAAATGTCCAGGTTTCACTTGAAAATCACTCATCATATCAAGAACCAGAAGATCTTAAACTGAATTTAAAAAGACAACCAGTACATATTAACACCAAGACGACAGATATGTTAGAATTATTAGACAAAGATTTTAAAGAAGCCCTGACAAAAATGCTTCAGTGAGCAATTGCAAACATGCTGGAAACAAATGAAAAAATAGACTCAGCAGAGAGATAGAAAGTCTCAGAAAGAAATAGAGCATATAAAAAAGAACCTAATAGAAATTTTAGAACTGAAAAATACAGTAAGTGCTATGAAAAACTCAGTGAATGGGCTCAACAGCAGAATGGAGGAGACAGAGGAAAGCATCAGTGAACTGGAAGACAGAACAATAGAAATTACCCAATCTGAGTAATATAGAGGAAATAGACAAAAAAAAAAAAAAAAAAAAATGGACAGAGCCCCAGAAACCTGTGGGACTGTGACAAAAGATCTAACATTAATGTCCTCAGAGTCTCAGAAGGAGAGGAGAAAGACAGGGCTAAAAAAGTATTCAAAAAAGTAAAGCCTGAAAACTTCCCAAATTTGGCAAGAGACAAACCTACAGATTCAAGAAGCTGAGCAAACTCCCAACAGGATAAACCCAAAGCAATCCATGCTAAGAGACATCATAATTAAAATTCTGAAAAGTAAAGACACAGAAAAAAAATCTGAAAACAATTAGAATGATACCAATTTCTCATCAGAAACCATGGAGGCCCAAAGAAAATGGCATAATATTTTCAAAGTGATAAAAAAAATTGTCCACCCAGAATCTAATATCCAGAGAAAAGATATGCAAGGGAGATCAAGATCTTCTCAGAGGAAAGAAAACTAAGACTTTGTCACCAGCAGACCTACTCTAAAAGAATGGCTGAAGCAAATTCTCTAAACAGAAAGGAAATGATAAAAGAAAGAACCTAGGAACATCAGGAAAGAAGAAAGAATATGATAAGCAAAAATTTGGATAAAGTAAGCTTTCCTACTCTTTGAGTTTTCTAAATTGTGTTTGACATTTGAAACAAAGTATAACACTATTTAATGTGGTTCTAAATGTATATTGAGAAAATATTTCAGGCAATTATAAACAGAGAGGGCAAAGGGACATAAAGGGGGTAAGGTTTCTATTACTTCACTCAAACTAGTAAAATGATGATACCAGTAGACTGTCATAAGTAATGTATATATAATGTAATACCTAGAGCAATGACTGAAAAATCGATACAAAGAGATACATACATTCAAAAGTATTATAGATAAGTCAAAATGGAATTCTGAAAAATGTTTAAGTAATCCACAGGAAGGCAGAAAAAAGAAAACAGAAATCAAAAAGAGAGGACAAACAAAAAAACTCCAGCAGACTTAAGCCCTAATATATTAATAGTTACATTAAATATATCAAGAGACAGAGATTGCAGAGTAGATTGAAAAACATGACCCAACCATATGCTGTCTGCAGGAAACTCAAAATATAACCATATAGTCAGGTAAAAAATAAAAGGATAGAAAAAAAATATATCATGCACACATTGATCAAAACAAAGTAGAAGTGACTATATTAGCATCAGATAAAGTAGACTTAGCAAAGAAAATAAACAAAGACAGTTTATTATATAATGATAAAAGAGTCAATCCACCAAGAAGACACAGCAATCCTAAATATGTATGCACCAAACAGAGCTGCAAAATATGTGAAGCTAAAACTGAAAGGCAGAATAGAAAAACCTACAATTATAGTTGGATACGTAGACACCCCTCTCTCAACAATTTATAGACTAACTAGATAGAAAATCAGCAAGGATACAGGAAAACTCAACAACACCATCAACCAACAAAATCGAATCAATATTTATAGAACACCCAACAATAGCCGAAAACTCATCATTTTCAAAAGCCCACAGACCATGTACCACAACCGTATCGTAGGTCATAAACGTAACCT